AAGGCTTGAAATCCTCACCAAAGTCCAGGATGGAAACGCCTAGCCAAATGAGGCTGACCTAAAGGACAGAGGAAAAAGACAAGAAGGAGCCGTGGGTTGTGCTCAGGCAGGACAGCAGAGATGTATGACTCCAAACATTTGGTTGAACCAGATCTGTGGCAGGACTCAAGCTTCCCAAAAATAAGGCGCTCACTCCTCCGAGAGAAGGATGCAGAGGCATGAGTGCCCAGAGCCAAGACCTCAGCCTTCCTGGGGACGCCAGGAAGGGCTCTAAGGACACCCTCCAAGCCTTGGGAGGAAGAAAGGATAAAGCCGTCACAAGAGAGTAAAGTGGGATGCAGAAGAAATGGGTGTGGAGTGGTTCTAAGGACCGTGGGCTGCTGATGGGTACAGAGGGCCTAAGGTGAGGGGCAAGTATAAGAGTGCAAGTGTAAGGCAAGAGACTTAATCCTCACCACTACAAAGACAGAATAGAAAAGCCCCTGCGTTCCCTGGGAGATGCAACTGCAGCAAGCTCTGGTCTCCAGCTGGTCCACCTTGCAAACCACCATAAGAACTAGAAGCCCGTGTTGAGGATGGAGATAGTGACTTAAGGAACACAGAGGACATTTAAAATAGAAAGAATAGAAGGCTGGGGTATGTCTCTGTGATAGAGTATTTGCTTGGCATGTGCAAGGTCCTGGGTTCAGCTATTCAATGTGGCATTAGCTAATAATTTAAATAAATGAAAAAGGGGGGAAGCAGCCAGGCGTTGGTGGCACACGCCTTTAATCCCAGCACTCGGGAGGCAGAGGCAGGTGGGTCTCTGTGAGTTCAAGGCCAGCCTGGTCTCCAGAGCGAGTGCCAGGATAGGCTCCAAAGCTACACAGAGAAACCCTGTCTCGAAAAAACAAAAAAAAAAGGGGGAGGGGAGCAGAGAAATAAAGAAAAGTGCAATTATCAGAGGCCGTAGCCCAAGCCAAGGGTGAGCTGAAATGCTGTGGGCAGTTCCTAGGGGTGGCAGCCAGAAGGATGACCAGATTGGTGGGGCGGGTGACATGGTGGTTAGCATGAAGGTGAACACTCCTGACCACCATGGGCAGAGTCTGGTAATGCCTTAGGGTTTCTTTTGTTGCGACGAAACACCATGACTAAAGAGCAAGTTGGGGAGGAAAGAGTTTATTAGGCTTACACTTCAGCATTGCTGTTCATCACTGAAGGAAGTCAGGACAGGAACTCAAAACAGAGCAGGATCGCAGAAGCAGAAGCTGACACAGAGGCCATGGAGGGGAGCTGCTTACTGACTTCCTTCCCCTGGCTTGCTCAGCCCACCGTCTTATAGAACCCAGGACCAGCAGCCCAGGGATGGCCCCACCCACAATGGGCTAGGCCCTCCCCACATTCATCACTAAATGAGAAAATGCCTTACATCTGGATCTCATAGAGACATTTCCTCAACTGAGGCTTCTTCCTCTGATGACTCTAGCTTGTGTCAAGTTGACACACAAAGCCACCCAGGACAGATGAATTGGCAGAGATGGTGGGAGAGCAAAGAGCAGACTGCAGCAAGAAAGGGTGGCACACGCCTTTAATCCCAGCACTCGGGAGGCAGAGGTAGGCGGATCTCTGTGAGTTCAAGGCCAGCCTGGTCTCCAGAGCGAGTGCCAGGATAGGCTCCAAAGCTGCACAGAGAAACCCTGTCTCGAAAAACCAAAAAAAGAAAAAAGAAAAAAAAAAGAAAAAGAAAAAAAAAGAAAGAAAGAAAGAAAGAAAGAAAGAAGAAAGGCTGAGTGTAGACTCTGGCAAAGAGAGGAGGGAAAGGAAGAGAAAAAGCTGAGGTGGTGGGACATGTTCAGAGAAACCCCGTGTTACTACAAAGAGTGGGGATGAGAAAAGAGGAGGGGCGTGGAGGAGAAAGAAGGTTCCAGAGTGTGGTGGAAGGTGAGTGCTGGACCAGGTGCCCAAAGGACTGGACATGTGGAATGGGAGGGGAGAGGAAGGAGGGAAGGGTGAGCTGCCTGGTTAGTGTTGGGGCAGGAAGCCAGCAGGGCCACAGCAGCTGTAAAAGGTTGGGGCATCCTAGTGTAAGGACTCCATGGGGCAAGAGCAATCAGGATGGGGTGAGGAACTGACAGGGCTGGAGGGCAAGGGGCTGAGGAGAGCCTAGACACATAAGGCCAAGCATTTGTTTCTACTGTAAGGAGACTGCAGGAGGGGCAGGGGTCCTAGAAATCAGTGAGGTAGATGAGAGGAGTCAAGTCACACCACCAAAGAGACAGCAAAGGGCAGGAGAGAAGAAGTCCCCAGGGGCTGAGGGGGGTTGACTGGATATGAGGAAAAGCACAAGATGGGATGGGATGCCCAGAAGGGAGCTTCCTGATTGGGACATCAGGCTAGGAAACACCAGGTCTCTAATTGCCACCCTGTCGATGCATGTTCACAACTCTCAGTGTCCAGGACACTGTGGACTTTGCCCAATATCACGCAGTGGCCAAGCTTATCTTACCTGGAGAAGACACTGGGACACACACACACACACACACACACACACACACACACACAGAGAGAGAGAGAGAGAGAGAGAGAGAGAGAGAGAAAGAGAGAGACAGAGACAGAGAGACAGAGAGACAGAGACAGAGAGAGTGTGCATTAGTTCTGCCAATACAGTAATAGGCCTATACATAAATTAAGACTTCATAGCCAGGAGCTCTCTACCGCATTATGCTGGGGAACTGCAGGCCTCCACTGTTGCACAGGGCACTCCAACATCCTAGAGAGTTAGAAAGGACATTTTCTGAAATGGGGGGCGGGGGGAGAGCCAGTTGTCATCTCCTCACTGGGAGGAGGGTTTTTTGTTTTGTTTTGTTTTGTTTTGTTTCCATGTCTGAAAGTGCAGATCAAATGTGAGCAAAGCAGCTCTCCCCTACCTAATTGATGGAGAAAGGCTTCTAAGGAGGTGTGATTGTAACAAAGGCACTTTACAAGAGTAATAGTGCAATCTTAAAGAACTATGTAACTAATAGCTTTGGTGGTTTGGTTCAACAGAGGGGGGCATGTAGTTCCTTTAGGGTAGCCATGCACCATGCCTCTGCTTGGGACGCTCCTTCCAAATGGGATGATCATCATGGTAGCGGTGGGTCAGACCCAGCCCCTGCATTTCTAATTGTGAGGCTTGGGGTTAGGGATGTGCCCAGCACACACACAGCCCTGAGTTCATCTCTAGCACTGTAAAAATAAAACACGTTAAAGCTTTACTCCCGAGGCTTTACCAAGTTAACACCTACAGAAACAGCGAGTGTCACGGCGTCCAGCTCGACTTTGCCCAGGTGTCCGCAGAAGATGGAAC